TTGCAGTGGAAAGATGAAGAGAAACTCAGAAACGACGTGGTGTTAAGAGAAAGGACCAAACGCCCGGCGTCCATTTTAAATTTGGGTCAATTGCGGCTGCCGTTCTCAATCGTTACATCTTTTGCAACTCTACCCTCAACATTTGTTTCTTAGCATTTTTATCCTCATTAAAAGGATCCAAAATTGCTGTTATGTTGGTGAAAAAAAGACAATTTTCCCTCGAATATAGAGAAAATTGCTGTCGCGGTCCCAAACCTTTGCATTTTTTTTTTACAGATTTTACCTTAACCTTCAATTTGTGTAACCATAGGTCCAAACCTTTGAGAAATTCACCTATGCAGTCCAAAATGACGAAAAACGTTAGTTCTAGTGTCAGTTGACCTCAAAATGGAAAAAATAAAGACAATTTTCAACCAATTTAAATGGGGCATTTTTTTCTAATTCTATTTGTCCCTTATTCATTGTACTAATCACTGTTCATTTTCCTCATTTTTCAGATATTATATATTATTTTCTTTCTTTTATTTATCTTAGATTTTTTTTTTCAACATGAATATGGAGAACAATGTCTGTTGATGCGGTGACCATGTGTAGATGAAAATCTCATGGACGAACTTGAATCCAGAAAGAAGATTTCTCACTTGCTCACGACCAAGGATGTCGATGGATGTAATTTCTTTGACTGGTACGACCCTCAAATGTGCAACAGATCGAATGGAGATAGTCCCTAGATTTTCAAGTGTTAGAAGAGATGTGGAAGTTGAACTAAACACCCTACGTGCAAAAAGCTGTGGTTCATGGAAGACTTGGATATTAGGATTTGTACTTGAAGTTTTTGTGCAATGAGTCTGTGTATAGATCTGCATTAGGTTTGAGCTCGGATGTTGTGTTATGAATAAAAAATCGAGTGTTGTCTATGGTCTTATAATTTATTTTCCATTAAATAAGACATATTATCATTTAACAATATTGTCCTAAATTTCATTTTTTACGGTTTCCCCCCTGTGAGCAAATGCTTCAATCAAAGGGAAAAATTTGTTCGAAAACCTGTTGTAGATGGTGCATTGCAAGTTTCAAACGTTTTCAATTAGTTGTAGATAAAGATCCAAACATTTTACTATGTCTCAGCATAGGTCCCAAACATTTGTATTTGAAAGCATATCAAGTCTCAAACCTTTTAAGGAGTTAAAGCTTATGTCACAATCCTTTGCTTGAGTCAGAATACATATTTGATTGCTTAGGTGCCAATTCCAAACCTATTTTACTTTTGAAGCACCCAGATCATAATGATCCAACAACAGTCACTAATTAAAGACACCAAGAACAATTTTTTCATTGAAATATTCACATTTTATATCATAAGTCGTTTGTTCATCATATAAAAGAAATTTCAATTTTGTTCGACCAAAGATAATCACACAAAAAACTTCATCATACAAAAAGTTTCTTCAAAAGGATCATTATACAAAAAGCTATGTTCTTTTTTGTCCATTTTTCTTATTCTTTGCCTGTGGTTCGGTGGAAGTAGAAGTCTTTCTCTCCTCTTGCCTTGTGATGAAGTTGGTTGTGTATCTGCATCAAAACATGTTCTCTTGTTATGGTCTGTTCCACCATATCTTTGACATGTCATCTTCATTCCGATCCTTGCCATTTGGTGCTTGCAGGTAGCTCTACTTATGACTTTTTTTTCAACTTCTTTGGTCTGCCCGCTTGTTTCTTCTTTATAGGTGGATTCAGGGATGTTTCCTTAGATCTAGCCACAAATCAGGACCCGACATTGGTTGGATGATTGGGCTATAGGACCTCAGGTAAGCTTCTTTGTTGTAGCATATATCTATGTACACATATATGTTAATGTTTCTCGATAGCATACCAGACATTGCATGCGCACAAGGTATTCAGGTAAGTTGCAATTTTCTACATGCACATTCATACTTCATCAAGTCCACACTCCATCTTATTCCATCCCTATTGATCACCCCAAACTTTTCACTTCCAGCATAGTTAGCGTTCAAGAACCTTGCATTTGCCTTTGCTTTCTCAATAATAATCATAACTCTAGGACCAAAAGCATGATCTTATATTTGTGCAGCTTCCCTTCTGTCATTCATCCTCAGCATTTGTTGATGTCTTATCTTCTCAAGCATTAAGATAATAGTCTTTTCTCTTGCAATCAATATGGAAGAGTTGAATGCCTACACAAGTTATTCAGTAAGATGTCACACATTAAATAATTCTGGAAATGTGAAATACTCCACTGTGATGTTGGTTTCTCATTGAACCCTTTTAACGTTGCTTCATTCATATCTTTCATCTGATTCATTGAACTTCTCAACTCTGGATTGTTGTTGCCCTTGATGCAGGCACAAGGCATACTTTTCAGAGTCAGTCCTTTATGCACTAAGGTGAATTACTATATAAATATCTTACAACACTTATGCTCAGCACTCTCACATTACGGATTTATGGAGTTTACCAAGCCTTTCTGGTTGTCATAAATGAAGGTTCAAGCCCTGGCATTATACATCCCAATATCAAATGTTTGTTTTGCTCTCTGCATCTAACACAACCCAAGCTAGAAGAAACATGCAGTTATTTGCATCAATACCTACTGAAGCCAACGATTGCCCACCTTGTGCACTCTTTAGGAAACATCCATCCAAACCAATCACATTCCTACACCCA